TGTCTGGCATACATCCCATTGAATGCCATAAGTGGCAGAGGTCATTACTCATGAGGAAGAGACAGGAATAGGATAATTCTGAAAAGAAAAAAGGGGAAAAAGGAAAAAACACAGAATATAAAATAAAAACACCCGCAGTTTTGACTGCATTAATCCAGATGTATTAAATTATTGATAAATATTAAAATTTTAACCATTACATTAACAGTTTCTTTGTCTCCTTTTCTCTCAATTGATTTTATTAAAAATATATATATATGAAATAAGAAAAGTGTAAAGTACTTGAGTCTTCAGATTTAATGACATTAGATCATGTATAAGTATATTTTTTTTAAAATAATGATTTAAATTCGACTCTTTACAAATTTGTAAAAATAAAATAAAATGAAAACTGTTGTGCAGTAAGCAACTAGTAATGGGAAACCCAACATGACAGGATTTGCTGTCACACTTCAAAAAAAAAAAATCCCAAATCTAAATCTAAACAGACTGATACAGTAGTCATTGGAGTGCATAATAATTTAATATTGAGAGGAAACAGCAACTGAATTTCTTGATTTCCTTCTACGTTGTGTCTTGTGGTGACCCTGACCCCACTCAAAGCTGACTGCCAATGCCAATCTTCACTCCCCATAGTGTACCTGTCCCACCACCGACTCAAGTAGCTCTCCAAAATCCCCCTTTTTTTAATCCTTTATACCACTAAAACACAATCCAAAGTTAACTACTTCTCCATTTGCTTTAATTTCTAAAACAGCTTTATTATTATTTACAAAATGTATTGGTATTTGAATGACAATGTGAAAATTTAACTTGTGAGTTTATTATAATATATGTATTAAATTTAAAATTAATTGATAATAAATATAGTAATTTTTTTATCTACTTTATATATCTATTTGTTATTTTATTGATGTAGGGTTTGTTCACTTAATAGGTAATATTTAATTATTTAAACATACATTTCTGATTTGTTATTGGATGATTGATAAGTACTAAACAATGTCTATAAATGTAGTTCCCATTGAAGAAACTCATAAGAAAAAAAATTAATAGAATTATGTAATAGTCATCATTTATGTGCTATTTATATACAAATAATTTCTTTTTTAGTATTTATAGTAAGGGTGTTTTTGATTTAATTTTTGTATATCTTAAAATTAATATCTTTTGGAATAATTTTAAAAGTGCAACTCTCACATTAATTTAATGCATTAATTAAAATTAATTTTCTCAATATCTAAACTCAAGATTTTGAGCCTAGATCTAATTTATAAAATGACATTTACTTTTACTAGAAACCTTAATTCTTAGTGTTTATATACTAACAATATATTAAAGCATCATTTGTGAATACTTTATGTAATACTTTTTCTTGTAGTATATAAATTTATTATAAATAATTAATTTCAATTAATATTTTACATACTTTAAATAATTTTAATTAATAATTTATATATTTTTATAATAAAAATGACAAAAAAACCTTAAAACACAATACAAACACTCTCAAACGAAACTTAAAATCTTCTTTGAATTTTACTCAAAAGCAGTAGTTAATTTTAGATTTTAGGTTTTAATTTTTTAGTTTTCAGTTATTAATTTTTAAATTGTTACTAACAAAATAAATAAAATTTTCAGATTTTAGCCAAAGAAAAGCAGTACAATATAATATTAGTAGTAGTATTATTAGGGGGGAGGAACAGAGAAGTACTGTAATAATCTATTTTTATTTTATTTTTCCCGCGCTTTAAACCCCACATTTTTCGTCGTTAATCCGTCAAAGCTGTGCTCTGCTTTTCCAGGCTCACAGCAGCACTCACTTTCCGGCCCCCAAACACCGACCCTTTAATAAAATTTTCCCGGAAAGATTTTCCCGTTCCATTCTTCTAAAATTTGTTCATTTCTATAATCTGAATACACCCTCTTTCTTTTTCCCCTCTGATTTTACATTACATCTACAGAATGGAAACAGTCAGACCCAAATCAGCTCACCGGAGCACCAGCAACGGCAAGAGCAGACTCTCCAGAACTTTCCACAAAGTCATCAACTTGAGAACTGCAACTAAAATTTCTTCCACCAATGGAATGGGAATTTGTGTGCTTACTTCGCAGAACAAGTCCCAGCAGGAAGAAGATGAAGCAACCGGAGACCAGAAACATGGCGTCTCCAGGTTCAAGCAAAAGGCCGTCATGGAAGCACTGTTGGCTAAGCTATTCGCCGGGGTCACGACGATTAAAGCCGCTTACGCCGAGCTTCAAATGGCCCAACATCCCTACAACAGCGACGCCATTCATGCAGCAGACCAAGCGGTGGTTGAGGAACTGAGAACCCTGTCGGAGCTGAAAAGGAAATTCCTGAAGAAAGAACTAAATCTTTCGCCGCAGGTTACGCTGATGCTGGCTGAGATTCAGGAGCAACAGAGCTTGATCCGGACCTTCGAGATCACGGTCAAGAAACTGGAGTCGGAAACAGAAGTGAAAAATTCCAGCATTGATTCGCTGAAGAAGCAGCTTGAGGAATCTAGAGCGGTTAATAAATCCCTGGAGAAGAGATTAAATGCGTCCGGGCCGTTGTCGATGTTTGACAATGTACAGCTTCGGATGCTGAATCCAACCCATTTTGTTCAATTTTTGCATTGTGTCCTAAGATCTGTTCGTAGTTTCGTGAAGATGATGATTCGGGAGATGGAAGTGGCGCAGTGGGATCTCGATGCGGCAGCGAAAATCATCGAACCTGAGACGAGATTCCCTGTCCAGAGTCATCGGTGTTTCGTATTTGAATCTTTCGTGTACAAAACTATGCTGGAAGGATTCAACTCCCCTGATTTTTCCCTCACCGGAGATTCTAAATCCCACAAGTACCGGGGCGTGCAATATTTCGACGAATTCAGGAATCTGAAATCGGCAAACCCGAAACACTTAGTAGCTCAAAACCCACAATCTTCCTTCTCTAAATTTATCCGGAGCAAGTTCCTTAGCCTCGTTCACGCCAAGATGGAGTGCTCGCTTTTCGGAAACTTAAACCAGAGGAAGCTACTGATCTCCGGTGGGTTCCCGGAGACTGCTTTCTTCATGGGGTTCGCAGAAATGGCGAAGCGGGTCTGGCTCTTGCACCGAATGGCATTCTCATTGCACGAAGAAGTTTCGATTTTTCAGGTGAAGAAAGGCTGTAGATTCTCCGAGGTCTATATGGAGAATGTGGCCGACGATTCACTATTTTCCACTGAAATCGGTGATGCAAACGTCGACATTCGAGTGAGTTTTACCGTGGTGCCGGGGTTCAAGATCGGTCAAACTGTTATACAGAGTCTAGTGTATTCCTCGCCGGCGATCCATCCTCCGGTGAGTCGTCGTTGATTTTCTTTTTTTTGTTTTAAATTTTAGAGTGAGTTAAATTTTTCTTCAGGTATATATATATATATACAAGTATATAACCATAATTGTAAATTGCATTTAATTAGAATCCAGATGTTAGATGAAGTTCACTTGCGTAGTAGGATACGCGCCGCCGCTTAAGGGCGGAACCTGATGCTCTTCTCTTCCGGGGTCAGGCTTTTTTACTTGAAGAAAGGCCGGATTGTGATTGGGAATGCAGGTAGCTTAGCTCCCATAAGGCGGCGCGTGGGTTCGTGCATGTGGTCAACAGAGTAAGCAACCACATTTAGACCAAACAGTCGGAGCAACCAAGGTAATGGGGAGCAGGATTAAGATATACTTCAACATGTGGAAGTATAACTAGAGTATGCAATTATACTGTGTTTAAGTTTTACATGAATTATTATCTAGGGATTTCTAAATCCAACTATTGAAATGTTGGTTTCAATTTTAACAATGTATAAGTTGAATGGTTGGATTTAGAAATCAACAACGAAATAATTTATGTAAAACTTGTATGTGTATGCAAATCGTGATCATGTATTATGTAAGTACCCAAGAAAATTTAATTTAATGCTACATAATATTTTGTTATGGCTTGGCATACCACTAGCCATGCATTCATGCATACACACATTAACTTTAATGTTATTGTTAATTACATGATTAGAAGTTACCTCTCCCGTACCTTCATCCGCATTTTGATGTAAAATTTTAACTTTAAAATGTTGAGATTAATGTAAAAATTCACTAATTTAAGTTTAGGGACTCCATAATTTTCACAATGAAGGACGATAGGTAATGTATGTTTTTATTTTTTTTAACTAAATTTAATTATTTAAAAGTTATATTGAACTTTTAATAGTTTAGAGTTGAATTAAATCAAATCATATAAAAAAAATTTTAATATTTTTTTTATCTATTTATAAAATTTAAAATTAAAATATTATTTAAAAAAAAAGAAAAACCCCACGACTTTCTTCTAATCGAATTAAAACAGCTGGTTGGTTGTGATTTGTTTTTTTCATTGTACATTATGTACCGTCTGGCAGTAGAAGACAAGACAATGCTGTACAGTCATAAAAGGCCATTATGTGATTCTGTCCTAAGAAGGTGGGCTCGGGCTGAGGAACCTGAGCAAAGGTTCACGGGCCCTGAAGAATTCAATTGGAACGGTTAGCCAGAACAGGCCAACAGGGCCACATGCCGTGTGCCTAGGGCCAATCAAACATCTGAGACATGTAGAGTACTTGCCACGACTCTTTCAGTCTTTCTGATCTAGTTCGTACTTTTGTTCCCCACAATATAATACAACTATATGATAAACAGTAATTGTTTGCACGAAAAGCACTAACCTAAGCAGTATCCAAAGAAAACGATGCATGTATATTAAATCCCCACCTTCCTGCTAGCCAAAATTTAAATCCACAAAATTTGTGTTCTCAGATTAAGATGCCTTTGTAAAGTTTTAAGTTTGAATCTCTTTGTTTATGAATAAGTGTATCATGGCATCTCATCTCAGGTCCAAAAACAAGTAATAAGTCGTCATGTGATGATCTGAAATCCCATCAATGGAAATATGGAATTTAGCTGTTCTAGTTCCTACAAAATCCAACACAACAGCGGTCTTAATCACATGAAGTTGGACTTTAACGAGGGAATTGTTTTTCTAGTTCTAGAATATATGGATGACTTTCTTGAAATGCAATAGGCCAACATGGACAATAGCTGTCTAGTGGGATCAAGAAACGAACATTTGTGGTCTCAGCTGGCATCTAAGAGACCAACTGCCTGTGATGCTATTTTGGCAGCTTCCGTCTATTAAGAGCACAAGACAAACAGATGTTTGTTCCCAGCTATACGCCTCAGGACCACAATAATCCCATCCCAACATATCAAGAAGGAAATGGACACAAATTTTTTTGGGAAAATAAATATGGAATGGAAAATGTAGGATTTTGGATCATGTTATGTTCTCAAAACTTTTCACGGGTAGAAAACTTGGAGGGAGCTAAAGGGTAGCTGCTGGGAGACGTGTGGAAATCAAATTTGTAGTTCTTCAAGGGCAAGGGAGGTCCTTGGAATGGGGCACCCTAACCCTACAGTTCCACAGGTTGTCTATCCTAAAACTTGGAATTAGTCTCCCTGAACCAGATACTGCATGCAGATAGCTAAAGATCCAACATGCTCATCTGGGGGTCATTTTGCAACCGCATAAAAGAACTAATTGCAATTTTTTCTATGAAATTTACAATTAATAAAGGCAAATCAAATCTATCCAGGGAAAAAAAATCACTCAAAATAAGAAAACAATGATCTGTATTTTTTTCATTCAATAGGATGACTTCCCGACCAACTGATGCCTGGTTATGTTTATGTCATCAGAACTTTGTACGGACAGTGAATGAATGCTGCCTAACTTATGTATCTTATGATTTGCATAAAAAAAACTCAGTAGCCTTTGCAACACCTATAATGCAAGAGTTATTCAAGCATTGCTTTCATTTCAAAGTCCTTTATGAAATCTTATGTTATCCCATCACCACGACTGAACCTCCTCCACCCCACCCCCCCTCTCTCTCTCCTTCCTCTCTGCTGGCCACAAAATTCCTCACTTCCTTTGTAAAATCCCATTCTCTCCAGAATTGACTCCTCCTCAATTATGCTACAAAACTTCCAAGAAGATATTCCTCAATGGTTAACATTGAATCACATTTAGCATCTCTCTCCCAATAGTCACTTCCAAACCAAGCTGAAAATGATCACCGCCTTCAATCAGAGAACAAAGGCCAACACTTTATGAGGGGATTGAAAGGGATTTCAAAGGGAGTCTTCTGATCTAGCTTCTACAGAGGGTTTAGGATGTGAGGCTTCAGCAAGAGCCCCAAGCATGTGTACAACCTCAGATGTGTCGTCCAAATAGTATTTGGCTTTGCTTGGTTTTTGGCCAACCGTGCAGGCAAAAACAGATGTACTTGAGGACAGCACACCACTTGAAATGGCACTGCCAATGATCTCAAACATGTCCTCATCGGATCTATCATCACCAATACAAAGTACAAAATCAGCCTGCTTGCCACTTTCAGCCATGGAAGTGAGGATCTTTTCAGCTACCAAACCTTTACTCAATCCCTAAAAGCCAAGGAAAACAAATTGATTCAGCGTAATTCTTTATGCAAACAAGAAAAGGAATCAAAATTTGACAAGCAACAGAGTACCAAGAATGTCAGCCAAACAAGTAAAACAAATAAATCCAAAACCCCCAGTATAATGGAAAGCATAAATAAGAATACGAATCCTTGTACTTCACAAGATTAATAATATGCTCACAATTTTAATTTCAGAATGTTCAGGAGTTAAAAATATGATTTCATTCTTTTTTATTGCCATGCTATAATAATCCATCAACCGATAGGATTTTATAAGCCTTAGTGGGAATGTAGGTTGCTCTATCTCCTTTTGGCATGAGATTGCATTTCCTTTATCTCGCCACGCAGGCGGTCACTTCTTGGCAGCCTATTGGTTATCTAAGCTATTCATAATTTTCAGTTCTTGGAAATGCCCACCCACTTAAATCTAATTCTTGCATTACTGTTCCAAGCTCTCAAAGTCAATATTCAAGATTTGAAACAATGTAGAGACGGCTTTTACAAGCACTTTTTTCAGACATTCAGATGGCACTAAAAGGTGAACTCATGGCTAGATGATGGAAAATTCTACAAAAATTCACTTATATCCTTTCCACCAAGGCATACAATGGCTCACACACCAATTGGTCGTTTGGGACCTGCATGCAGTATCCTACTAGCCTCCCTTAATCTTTGGTAATCACCCTCTTTTTTCTCTTCTTCCTCATTTGACTTAACAAAGAGATTAGACCTAAAACCTAGCTAAACCCTAATCAATTATTAATCTTTACACTTTATCAGCAGTGAATATGTTCATGGGCACACTTTTCTTTCCTTTTTTCCCCACCTTAAAAGAGTGTCAGGCCTGAGACATAACTAAACCAGTAAACCCTATCCCATCATTTACCACATGAATTGGCATAGGTCCACAGTCATATGTACATATCCAATTTTCATCACCTAAGATGGCTGCGAATTTTCAACAAGTCTCGTCCATCAAGTGCATTAGTGGAATAACTTGATCATGCAAGAGAAACACAGTTGCGACCTTATGTAAAGATTGAAATCAGTACCGAAGTAGAGATAGATACCTGTGGCTTCACTTCAACAATAAATTGACCACTTCTTACTGCAACAGGTTCATTTGCTAGCACACTTTCAAGATGGTCTAACATCTCTTTGGCCTGGGTACATCCAAAACCTGGGTCTGCATCACGATGTTGCCAGACCAAGGCAGTCTCCTTGGTTTCAATGTAAGAGCCATCGGTGGACTCTGTATACAATTTCATAACAGGTTCAGCCATCTCCATCCAGCCAAAATCACTACTCTGACCACAAGTTTCCCACTCATCATTAGCAGACCACCTGATGCACCAGAAAAATTAGAAACCACTTACCAAGCATAGACATGGCAAGAAATGGGAAATACAAAAGAATGATCAGAAAACAGCATACCTCATGAAGTACCCATGTTCAGCTGCAACCCCAAGTTTCTCGCAAGGAGAAAACCACTTGCCTAAACTTTCCTTTCCTCTACCACTTACAACAAAGACAGTGTTATTGACATCAGCACATAGAGTGTTTATGATTGAGATGACCTCAGAACTTGGGGTCTTGTTGATGGATGTTTGAGGCATTAAAGTGCCATCATAGTCTAATAGTATAGCCCTGTTTTTAGACCTATGATATACAGACACAATGTGATCAATAGACAACTTCCTGAAATTCGGATCCAGTGCAACAACTCTGAAACCAAAGCCCAAACCAATTCCCCAACAATGCCTTCTGAAATGGTCTTTGCATGTCCTTTCCATATCCTGGAAGAAGCTTCGAGACCAGTAAGCCACATCATGTGTGCTGACATACCTATAATGCTTCTCATGGCGCAACTGCTTCTCAGCATCAGGCATTGAGATAGCCTCATTCATTGCCTCAGCAGTTGATTCAATGTTCCAAGGATTCACCCGAATTGCACCGCTAAGTGAAGGAGAACATCCAATGAACTCTGATACCACCAACATGCTCTTCTTAGGAATGACAGATTCTGAAGAAGATTCTAACTCAGAGACCCCTTGGCGGCACACTATGTATTCATAAGGAGTAAGATTCATTCCATCCCTCACAGCAGTAACCACAACACACTCAGCTATGGTGTAGTACGCAATTCTTTCACCAAGGGATACAGGCCTATCAATAAAGACAACAGGTTCATAGCCTGGCCATCCAAACTTCTCATTAATCCTCCTGCAGCTTTCCTGGATTTCAGCTTGTATTTCCTCAAGATCTCTCCCTCTTCCCCTAGCAGGATTGGCAATCTGTACCAAAACTGCTCTTCCCTGCCACTTTGGATGCTGTTTCAACATCTGTTCCATTGCAAGCAGCTTCAAATTGACGCCTTTAAAGATGTCCATGTCATCAACTCCAAGCAATACAGTCTTCCCTTCAAACTGCTGTTTAAGCTCTCCCACTCTCCACTCTTTGTCTGAAAATCTCAGTACAGACTCAATCTGCCCCATGTGAATACCGACAGGCATGATCTTTATTCCAACTGTCCTTCCAAAGTACTCCAATCCAATATAACCCCTCTTCGACTGGTATTCCAAACCTAACATTCGACTACAACAAGAAAGAAAATGCCGGGCATAATCAAAAGTGTGAAAACCAATGAGGTCTGAATTCAAGAGTGCCTTCAGAATCTCTTCCCTCACAGGCAAAGTTCTATATATTTCAGATGAAGGGAACGGACTATGTAAAAAGAACCCCATTCTCAATTTATTGAACCTCCTCCTCAAGAATGTAGGCAACACCATCAAATGATAGTCATGGATCCAGACATAGTCATCTTCTGGATTTAAAACCTCAATCACCTTTTGAGAGAAAATTTTATTGGCCGCAACATATGCCTCCCACAGAGACCTATCAAACCTTCCTCCATGATTTGCCGAGAAAGGAAGCATGTAATGGAAAAGCGGCCACAAATGTTGCTTGCAAAACCCATGATAGAACTTTGACAAGATATCAGGAGGCAAAAATGCCGGCACACATTTAAACCTATCCAACAAAAGCTGTGAAACATCATCTTGTTCACTGGAATCAACATCAATCTTCAAAGAACCCACATATATAACCTCCATATCATCAGGGAAGCCATCTTTCAATTGTAAAAACAAAGAATCGTCATCCCAACTAAAACTCCACCCTATATTATCAGGTCTGCGCTTAGCTTTAACTGGTAGATGATTAACTACAATAATTATTCTGTCCTGGATAACTGAGGACGGTACATCTGAGCCGACACTATTAGCCTGATCATCATCCAACTCTGAAATATTCCCAGGAACAGTCATTACCCTCGGCAGCCGTTTCTTCTCTCGAGTTTGACCCATTGCTTGGAAATTACCAGAAGCTAGATCTAAAAGGTTGGTATACGATCTGGAGATCATCTTAACCTCCTCCTTGTATCAGAACCTGCTCAAAGCTCTACCTCAAGATATCAGAACTACAGAAGATACCAAAGATTGGCTTTTTCCAAACAATGACTACAATTGCACACGATCTCTGCAATGAGTATCAAACTAACCAACACCATTAGATGCATACCGATCAAGAATAACACAAACCAAATAAACCCATGAAATGAAACATGATTACAGACAACTAGATAGGATGAGAAAACAGAAATATCGTTATAACAACCGATTCAATTCACTGAAACAGCATCCAAAACAACAGAATAAGATAATTTAACCTCAAAATATAGCCTTTCTACCAAGGCTTCCAATGAGATTCATATCAAAACTTGCACACCGAAAAAAAAAAAAAAAAAAAAAAAGAAAAAAAAAGAAGGGAAAAATCGGAAATTTCCAACTGACCTCAGCTTGA